AGGATCGAGGTAAGACTAACTGGCCTATAGTTTCCTGGGTCCTCCTTCTTCCACTTTTTGAAGATGGGAACCACACTGGCCCTCTTCCAGTCCTCTGGCACCACACCAGAGCACCACGAGTGCTCGTAAAGCTGTGCCAGGGGTCCTGCAATGACCTCAGCCAATTCTTTTAGTACTCTAGGGTGGAGATCGTCTGGACCGATTAGTAGCACACGGAGATTACATTAGCAATGAGATTGGGCTACCAGCTAGGGGTTGTGCTAATTTGAACTGTAGCCCATAACTGTATCCCTATGGTATTACTAGGGACCTACCAAATTCACAGGCCCTGGCAGCCAATTGCAAGGGCTGCCATTTTGATAACCATGCTGGGCAAGCAGTTTCAGCTGGGTGGCTCCTACCCCAAGGCTCTGGCTTCATCTCCTGGCCGCTGGATCTGGAGCCAGAGCCCTGGCACTCTGCATGAGGCTAAGCTTCACTCACTTGTGCCGGAGCAGCCCAGACCATGTTCCCACCGGTGCCCACAGCCCAGCCGGGTGCTGCTCTGCATCCCCTGCCTCCAGTTCCAGGATCTGGAGCTGGACTTTCATGGGCAGGGGCACTCTCTCTCCCCTCCCAGGGACTTTTAGCAGGCTTTACCCTGCTCCCCTCCTCTCCCCTTCCTCCCTCCCCTTCTGGAGACAGAGATGGAAACTTTTCCTGCCTCCCTTCCAGGAGACGGGCAGTCTGCCCTTTTTTTCTTCTCTTTGCTCCCTTCCCCACTCTCCACCCTTCTGGGAGACAGCTGGTTCCCCACGCTTTTTCACAGGGAAACAGCTATGTTCAAAGAGCTAACAAAAAGCTATTCCATAGGAGACTGCCAATTATACAATTTCCGTGAAATAGTGAATTTAATAGATTCATAGATGTTTGGTTCAGAATGGACCTTAGCAGATCATTGAGTCTGACCCCCCCGCCTGGGCAGGAAAGAGTACAGGGGTCAGACAGCCCCAGTCAGGTGTATGTCTAGCCTCCTCTTAAAGACCCCCAAGGTAGGGGAGAGCACCACCTCCCTTGGAAGCCTATTCCAGATTCTGGCAACCCTTACCATAAAGAAGTTCTTCCTGACGTCTAACCTAAATCAGCTTTCCGTCAGTTTGTGGCTGTTTTTCTTAGTTACCCCAAGGGGTGCCCTGGTAAACAGAGTATCTCCTATTCCTTAGTGTCCCCCCTATGAACTTGTAGTAGCCACAAGATCATCTCTCAGCCTTCTCTTGCGAAGGCTGAAGAGATCCAGGGCCACCAATCTCTCCTTGTATGGCTTTGCCTGCAGGCCCCTGACCATATGAGTGGCCCTCCTCTGAACCCTCTCGAGGTTTTCCACGTCCCTCTTGAAGTGTGGCACCCAGAACTAGATGCAGTAATCCAGCTGCAGTCTTACCAGTTCTGTAGTCTTACCAATGCTGTATAGAGGGGAAGTATCACTTCCCTGGACCTGTTTGTCATGCACCTGCTAATGCAGGAAAGAGTACAGTTAGCTTTACTGATTACTTAGTGACATTGATGACTCATGTTCATCTTGGAGTCAACAGTGACTCCAAGATCCCTTTCTGCTGCTGTAAGCATGTTGGTGATTCCTTTTCCCTAGTTGCAGCACCTTGCCTTTGTCCTTATTGAACTGCATCCTATTCTGTTCCATGCACTTTTCCAACCTATCCAGATCTGCCTGCATTTGTTCCCTACCTTGTGGTGTGTTAACTTTACCCAATAATTTGGTATCATCTGCTAATTTGGACAGAGTGCTTTCCACACCCTCTTCCAAGTCAGTGATGAAGACATTGAACAGCATCAGTCCAAGGACCAAGCCTTGTGGGACTCCACTGCTCACATCTTTCCAGGTCAATACTGACCCATCCACCACCACTCTCTGGGTGCAACCCTTAAGCCAATTTGCCACCCACCTGACCATGTAGTCATCTATATCATATTCACACAGTTTATCTATAAGAATATAATGAGCTACTGTATTGAAGGCCTTCTTAAAATCCAAGTAGATGACGTTCACTTCCATTCCTGCATCTAAGCATTTTGTGACCTGGTTGTAAAAAGAAACAAGGCTAATCAGGCAGGGATCTACTTGCTATGAATCCATGCTGGTTGCCCTTTAGCATTGCTTTCCCCACTGGACTCCCACAAATGTGATCCTTAATAATTTTTTCAAAGATTTTCCTGAGGACGGAGGTGAGACTATCCGGTCTATAGTTACTGGGATCCTCGTTCCTCCCCTTGAAAATAGGGACCACACTGGCCCGTTTCCAGTCCTCTGGGACCTGACCTGAGCACTGAGTGTGCTTGAACAGCCGTGCCAATGGCTCTGCTATGACACCAGTACACTTGGGTGAAGATCATCTGGGCCTGCTGACTTAAACACATCCAGCCCCTCCAAGTGTCTCTTCATTACGTCGGTGCTAACAGTTGGTGGGCTGGTTCTCCCTTTATGCCTCTTTATGATCCAATTGGAAGATTTGTCCTGATCCAAGTTCTTGAACACAGAGGCAGAGAACTCATTGAAGAGCTCAGCTTTGTCCCCCCATCTGTCACTAATTATCCTATTTTGTCTTCTAGCGGGCCTATGCTACCCTGCACCTTCTTTTTGCTCCCTATATACCTGAAGAAGGACTTTTTGTTGTCTTTAATTTTTGTTGTCAGCCTAAGTTCCATTTTTTCTGTGGACTTTCTGACTGCCTCCCTGCAAGTGCAGGCCAAGTAGGTATACTCTGCCTTGGTAGCTACCCCCTGCTTCCACAACCTATATGCCTCTTTTTTTGCCTCAAGGCTTTCCTGGATTTCCCTGTTCAGAAGGGTTTCTTGGCCCCTTTGCCCTCTTTCCTGCACAAGAGGATTGTCTCCTTCTGCACCTGTAGGACCGCTCCCTTTAGGAATGACCACTAGTCCTGGACTCCCATCTCACCAATACTCCTGTTCATGAGTGCCTCACTAACTAATCTCCTGAGCACACTGAAGTTAGCCTTTCTGAAGTCTAGCAATTCTTTCCTGCTGGTTATCTTTTCCATCCTACGCCGGATAGTGAATTCAATCAAGTCGTGGTCACTGTTCCCTAGGTTACCTTGTGTCAGTAGATCCCCCCACCAAATCATCCCCTGTAGCCAGGACCAAGTCCAAAAAGGCATTTCCCCTAGCGGGACCGTATACCTCTCGTGTTAGGTGGTATGCAGGTTAAGAACCTATGGGAACAGTTGGATCTAGCTGACTGCTCCTCCCAGCAGAAGTCTGCGTAGTTTAAGTCACCCATGATAACCATGTCCCTTGACCGTACAGCCTCGAGAGCTGTCTGGAGAATTCCATGTCCAACTCCTCCTCCTGATGTGGCAGTTTGTATGTGGTAGGTCCCTAGGTATTACTAACTCAAACATCAACAGCACTTGAGCTTCCACCCACTGGGCTGATGGAATTGTTACTCAAATTTAAGTACCATTTAACTTGAGCTAGAGATTTGTATATGTGAATGTGAGTTGGAGCTGGGGTAATGCCTGATATGCTACAAAGCAACGCAGCCTGAATAGGAGAGGAGTCCAGAATTTCTGGTGTAGCCTAGCCCCCCTGCTGCCTCTACTACCTTCTTAAATGAAACTTATTTTGAAAAACTATTTTCATTTTAAAAGTCAGATTAACACAGAGCACTCTGCTAATGTGATAACTATGTGACTCTTTTGATGATATATAACAGAGAGGCTTGGAGTAGTGGAGAACCAAATCAATTTCTGAAGTCAAATGTATTTGGTCACAACATTGTGTAGTGTTGCTCACAACCACAAGTCTTGCTAATCAGTTTTGAGGGCATTCTTTGGCTTTTGAATTAATTGGGCATGTAACCATGGTTCCCATAGAAAGTTTTACAATAAGATAATAGAGTCTGGATTAATGCCAGTAGGTACCAAGGTGAAGAAATGAGACTCCTTTAACACAGGGAAAAAGCTCAATAGCAGTCAGCCCATAGAAGTTTCCAACAAACAGAACTGTGGCTTAGCTTTCTATTGTAAGTTGAATATCCTTGATCTTTCATAGAATGTTTTCGCTAGTTAAAATAGCAGTGGATATAATTTCTGGATTTTTATCCAGAAGCCTAATTTTTTAAAAAAAGCATTTCCTTTATTGTTGCTGCTATGTTATTCCAGTGATCTGCATTTTTACAGGTCGTATTATAGAGGCAGCACATGGAATCTAGACCAGTAGACAGCATAAATCAATGGCTTTGGTAATTGTCATTCAGGCATGATATGCTTATAATCATGCAAAAGTCAAGAACTTGTTTCAAAGAAAAGTTGGTCCTAATCAGGCTTGTGTAATATAGAAACACAGTAATTAAAAGATTATCCTATGAAGCTAGTCTTCTGATTTCTTTCTTTAGCTCTACAAAGTGTATAAATATAAATAAAATGACCAGAAACTCTTAAATGGATTTAGTATGGACACACAAACTCATCAGCTCTCAGAATCCATGAAACGCTTTGTTCTGATTACACTGTAGTATGTAGATGGTATTTTTCCTCAGAAGCCTTTTCAGGAATTTGCTCTGTTTGAGACTTAAATTAAGCACCAGGAACAACTCTAATGCAAAGGTGCTGTACCCCCAGCCTGCAGACCAGATCTAGCCTCTGAAACCATGGTATCCAGCCTACACGGCAGCACCCTGTGGATCCAAAAATTTGGCAGTAGGGAAGTCAAATCTCTGCTGCCAAATTTGTCCACCTGTGGGGAGCCCCATGGGCCTCATAGCATGTCCCTGCATGCTAGATTGGGCATGTGGAGCATTGCAGGACCCGATCTTGGAACGTGGGGCTAGCTCAAGGCCTGATCCAGGCATACAGGGGGCTGGCTGAGGTTGTACAGGGCCTGATCCAGCCAGTGGACCAGCTCCATGCCTCATCTGGTGCACGAGGTCAAAAGGTTGAGCACCAGTGCTCTAATGGAAAGTAATAGTCTTTATTTTTTCTCTGCAGTAAGAAAAGCGGAAAGCAAGCATTACAGAATAATGAGGTAATCCCTTTTCCCTGAATTTTTAACATTAGTTTAAATAAAACTAAACATGTTATAATTATTCCTCTTATTATCAAAATTGAACTGTCTGGGGTGTGGTTAGCTATAGAACTAATGTTACAAAAATGGATAGTGTTGTGCTTATTGGTTTCTACACCTTGATTATCAGACTGCTATTTTTTTAAAGCAATACATCCTTTTGGGAAAAAAGATACAAAGAGTCATGTTAACTTCATAAAATGGTTACATTTTGAAACTATCAGACTTTAGTATTTTTAAGCTCCTGAGAGTGATTTTTTGCAAAGGGAAAAATGGCCTTGTGTTTGTTTGTTTTCTGTTTGATCTAAAAAGTGCCTGGAAAGATTTACATTTTAGATTGCATCTTTTATTGGATACCTATGTTTTGTCTGTCCAGAAAAAATACATTATCCCTTAGGAACTAGCAAAACTATCCGATTTATAAAAGTGAAACTTGATTTTCTAGCCACTGCTTAAAAATGTTATCATTCATTAAATTTCCATGCTTTATTAATAATTAGAGAAAGGACAAGATTCAAAATGTCTGCCCATTTAATAAAAGGGTGTGATCACTGTATACGTGTTCCAGGGACCACCAGCATATGCTACAAACAGGCATGGTAAAGGTACCTGCTGTGGGCAGTTAGCTTGGGAGAACTGGTTGTCTGCTCTTTACTGTAGAACATGGCTGGATCCAGGATTGGGAATGGGGAGATGAATGCAACCATACTCACTTCAGCTGTGAAGTACATGCACAGCAAGTTCTCTGAGCTCACTGGCTGGTCCATGCAGGTCCTGCCAGAGCTTTAACCACACTGTGGCAGGATCCTCAGTGTCCAGTTGGTGACCTCTGAGCTCCCTGTGCATGTGGAACTCCGGTAGGACCTGCACTGATCAGCTGGTGAGCTCAGAGTTCACTGCACATGTACAACGCAGCCAAAGAAAGCACCCATGCACTGCATATCTCCCTGCTCTCCCACCCTCCCGCGATCTCCCCCTACAGAATAAATTTACTATAGAATGAAATCAAAGGTGTATTGTACTATAGCAATCATGTTGTTTATCCATACTATTGGTGTTTAAATCTTATTCTTGATTTTGTTCATGTAATTCTAGTGTAACTATATTGGTTTTAGTGATGTTACTCCAGATTTACTTCTGAGTAACCAAGAAAAGAATCTGGCTTAATTGCTTAAGTCAGACTGTAAAACGATAGTACTTCTTACAGTACACTTTCTACTCAAAACTGCTTTACAGACATAAACTAGCATACAAGGTTGGTCACCATTTGCTTGTAAACTTCACATATTGACATGAGTTCATGAAATAATGCATTTTTCCTCATCAGAAGGATTTCCTGGAACAATGCATTTTTCCTCATTATAAGTAGAAATCAATATTTGTTTGCCTTCTTTGTTTAAAACTTGTTTTTTAACCAAAGCCTTTGGAAAAGCATAATCTCCTGTTTTGTTTTGTTTTTTAAATAAAATGTATCTAATAAAATTAACATTACACATGCAGACATCAAATACGGCAAAATAGGTATTGTAAAGTACAATACAGCATCTTGCACAGTAAGTTCTTGTAGAAGATCGTGGCCTCTGAGTTATGGTAATACAAATACATGAAAATATAAATTAAGAAGCTTTTTTAAGAGTGCCTGCATTAAGTAACTGTCATACCTACACAGATTTATGATGTATTAAGGTGACCTCAGATTTCTGTCTTGCTTCTTTCTTGTAAGCAGTTCATGTCCATTTTGGCCCAGGAGTGAAGAATTAGTGACATTGACATTACGAAGTCAATGGAAGGGGTACTTTAATTAAGGTTTCTTATGGGTTTCTTGTTAACTTATTTAATTTCAGTGGCCAGCACTTTGGGAGACTGTCTGTGTTTTAACGTCTCCTTTTAGTTAGTGTGAGAGCTCACCATAACTATGTTCTGAAACCCCCCAAAACTTAGAACATCTTTGTAGATTAAAAAAAAAGCACATTCCCAGTATTTAAAAATAACTTGCAGTTCACCTTTAATTTATGCACCACAGCAGTGCCATGGTAGTCAATGGGACATTTTATATGTTTGCAGAAATGGGACCTCAATGTAACTGCACTCAATTGAGTTTATTTTAACATATACATATATATTAAACTATTTTTAGATTTAAAATAATGTTTTAAGCAAGGTGAAAATTAATTCCTTCCTGGATAAACACTTCCCATTCCATGTTGTTTTAATCAATCTTTCCTGAATATCTCACATGAGCTTAATCTATAACAACAGTTTTCTGTTATGTTCTGTCAAGTGCATGAATTATTTTCCAGGTGACCAGAAGAGGGTCCAGTACATACATCATATAATTCTCTGGATCAGTTCTGAGGAATTCATTCAAGAAGATTGAGAGGGCTAGCTAGAACTTATTTCCATTGACTGGCCTAAGTTCTCCCTCCCCTGTCTTTAAGGAATCCGTATTTAATTGAGATTTCTTGGACAAATGTGGATTTTACCATTGCTATGGACCTTGGTGATTGGGGTAACTTGTGAAGAAATGAGAGCAGTTTAGATGTGTCTGGAGTTGAAGATGCATCAAGACCAAATTGATGGGAGATGGCATGCTTAAGTTGGATATGTTGCCACTTCTTCCTAGGCTCTCATTTTCAATAAATTGCTTGATCTAGATCTCTTTACCACCTAGCTAATCTGGCAAATGATAGATTAGTTGCTGTAAGAAAGTTTGAATTACCCCAGATAAAGACTTGAGCACATAGAAAGCGGTGATTTCTAAACTGAGTAGGCAAAAGGCAGTGGTTTTCAACCTGTAGCCCACAGACCCCGGAAGCCCACAGACTATATGTATGGGGTCCATGAAAGATGACTATGATCGATCAAAAGTATGTGATTACCCACACTTACAATTCAAGGGGTTTGAATCTCCATTCGAAATGCCCAAAGGGGTCTGCACCTCCATTTTAAATTTTTAGGGGTCCACAAATGAAAAAAGGCTGAAAACCACCTGTGCAAGGGAACAAGTATTTTTCACTGCCACAATAGTTGGCTATTTTTCTTTAGGGAAGCATAGTAGGACAGGTGCAGCAGTTTGCTAAACAGTAGAGGGCAAAAAAATTGGTTCTAGCTGAGAGACCCAGGCTGTAGATTTAAACCTGTTGTGCTCCATGACCAGAGTTAAAAAGATACTGTTTGATCCAGGACATAATGATCAGATTGAGCAATTTTGAAGTAGCATATTTAAGGCTTATGTTATTTTTCAATTTCATTTTATTAATGTTGCATTAGCGGTTTTGATTCTTTAATTGGAAATAACGTATCTAAGTATAGAGCTGACATTTTAAGATGTATGTTTCAATAATTTAATGCAAAATAATTTTTTTTTTTGTACTGTGTGATCTTATGCTATACAGAAAGAAGGAAAGAGAGAACGTGCAGTGGTGGACAAAGTCTTTGTTAAGCGAATATGTCGAATTGTGAAAATAATGGTCCCTAGAACATTCTGTAAAGAGGTAAGCATTGCCTTGCAGAAAATAAAAATTAAGAAAGGTTATGCTTCTTAATCATGTTGCTTTCTGTTGTAATCAAAACTCTGAGAACATAAGCATGTTGATTGTTCTCACACTTCTACTGGATTGTACACTGTTACCCAGGTTAGAAAAATAGCATGTACCATTAGAGACATTAAAAATTAATGGTTGGATTAAATTCAGATGCAAGTTCATAATTAGATAATATACAAATTAAATATTAATACAGTCTAGTCTTCTTTGTAACTTTCATTAATTCCTACTTCAAGCCTAGCAAATTGTGGTTGACCTAAACAAGTAAGGGCCAACCTCTTTGGTAGATGTGCTACAAATTAGCCCCACACTCTCCCTGAGCAACACTTCTACCCCCTTCATCCACCCAATTGACTGCTCTACTTTCTGTTCCCTGCTCTATCTGCTGCTGTGTTGCCTGTATCCTCTCAAGGTGGCTCATGTCATTTTTCAGAATGACTGACACGCACTCCAGCATGCTCTCACCCCTTTAGGAGTGTCCCGTAGCCCCAAGCCTCTCTCTGATGTCTGCTGCTTGACCATTGAGAACAAGCTGAGATGTGCTGGGGCCAGCTCCTTGGCCCATGGTGCCTCGACTCCACCCGTCTCACTCAGACATTGGCAATTTCTGAGAGGAGGTTTAGCTAGCTGAAAAGTCACACTCTTTGTACTAGAAACTACAGATCCCTTCCTCCACAGAAGACACCTGCCTATATTGTCAAATGCTTTGAAATCACATTTACCACAGACAGTAAGTTATAAGATATAGCAAAAAGGTTTGTTATATAAACAAGGGAAATCATAACAATTATTAACTGTACGTTCAACACTGACAGAAATACAAGAAACAAATCAACTACACGAGCAGTATTTGATCTTACCTCTGCATATTAGCCCTAAAAATGCAGCTTCTATTGCTGACCAAGCCAGAGTCCCTGCCAGACTGTCAGCTTGTGTTTTCCCAGTGGGAGACCAAAGTAGGCAGTGCCCAGGAATCTTTAGATGCCATTTGCCATGTTCATGCTAGCAATGATTTTTTAGGCACCAATCTTCCACATACCAAAAGCATGTGAAGAGGTGTTTGGAATGAAAGAACTAGCTGAAATCTGAATTAACATACTAAGCAGTAGTCATTAGAAGTTTGCATAGATGACAATATTTGGTATTCTTTGGCTAAAAAAGTGCCCCTCAACTGGCTAAATTTGATGCATAAATTGATACTTTGACAGAGCTCATATGCTTTTCCAGCCTTCCCCTTTCCTGTATTGTGTGTTCCAGCCCAGCTGTGGCTGGGCAAGGGAGCATGCTTATGTGCTTCCTGGCACCCAAGTACTGAAGTGTGATTCGGGCAGGGAACAAGCCAGAAGCAGAATGCACCTGCTTCAGCCCTGGGCTTTTCCAGTCCAAAGTACACAGGAGGTGCATTCTGCTGCCTGCTTGGCTGGAACCGACACACACGCTCCCTCCTCCTATGGGAGGGAGAGCATGAAGCAGTAAAGTACGTACTGTCTGGGAAGCCACTCCATTTGGGTTCCTGAGTTATTTTTCTCCCCAAGGGGCTATTTTTACTCTGGGAGAAAAATTATGAAGTTCTGTACACTCTTGGTTTCTCCTGAGAGAGCAGGGACTTTCCCTGGAGAAAATGGACATCTGTCTAAGCCCCTAGTTTTGAGAGATTAAGAAATAAACCTTTGTTGCAGACTTTCTTGTAGCATCTGTAGCAATCATTTTTGTTTTTGAAAGCAGTATGTTTTAGAATTTACAATATAAAGTAAGTATTTCCTCTTATAAAGCAGTGAAAGATTTCTTTCTTAGCAAAGTTCTGTTAGGTTAACTTTTAACTTCATGTGTAGTGATTTACTGAGCATTCTTTAAATGTGCTTATTTTTGTACTAGACAGGTTATTTGTTACTGATTGCTGTTATGCTGATACTGCGCACATATTGTGATATTTGGATGATTCAGAATGGAACAGTCATTGAAAGGTATCTGTGAATTACTTAACTGATAATTTTTAAATGTTGTCTTCCTCCTTCTATTCAACAGTATCATCATGGGAGTGGGGGAAAAAGAGTGATGACTGCTAACAAGAAAATATCTTAGCAAAATAATGTAAAATGGCATAAGAACCTCTATAGCAGTAATTATGTTATAATTTAAAAAGAAAAACCAAATTATTTTTTTACATGGAAAAAAAGCTTACTTTTTAAGTCTGAGTTTGATAATTTTGAACCTAGATATACTTTTTTGTTAAATTGAAGTAAGCTTCTGTTATATTGTAGATCAGGAGTCGGCAACCAGAGCTTGGCATGTGAAAGCATTTTGCTTGGCATACACACGCTGAGGTAGACCATACGAGAGCCACAAGGGACCTGATCCTTGTTGTGGCAGCACAGCCACAGCCCCTTCTCTGCCATCCACCCTGAGACATATGCATACACCCACCACCAGCAATGAGCTGAGCCAGGGCTCTGAACCCTGGTACAGCTTTTTATAGCCTTCCTGCTGCCTGCTGCTACAAGCCTGGGCTCTGTGGTGAGCAGCAAGGGGCTCGCCAGAGCCTGTGAGAGGCTGCAAGAAGCTGCGCTGAGGTCCGCAGAGCCCTGGCCCAGCTCATGGCTGGTGAAGGGATACACACATGCCCCAGGGCAGATGGCAGAGAAGGGGCCAGGGCTGCACTGCTGCAGCAAGGATCAGGCCCCTCACAGTTCCCCTGCCATCTACCCTTGGCACACCAACATCTTACAAGTTGAGGTTGTGGGTGTTTTTCGCACTCTGGCCAAAAAATGTTGCCGGCTCCTGCTGTAGATCTCTGCTTTTGTTGCTTTATGGACATTTGTTCCTTTCAAACTCCCCTTGTCCAGTGATATAGAAAGTATCTATTTTTACAGAGAGCAAGCTGGAAGACTATACTACTTTAGTGTTGTCTGCAAAGAATGAAGTCAATGTTTCTCTTACGCTTCTGCAGAAAAATGTATTTCCTATTGCTTTTCAGCTGTGTAGCTATACAGTAAGTCAAACAGCATAGACAGAAATATGTATAGCTGCTGAATTATATACAATTTTCTCTTTTTTGCAGTGCAATCGTAAGCAGAGATAAACCACTATTCAAGAAATACTTTTTTAAATTCATAGCTGCCATTCCACTGGTAAACTGTTGTTGAAAAATATTAGCATGCACAATATCTCACATATGCTGTATGTTCCATAAGTGGTGCAGCACTGGAGCAAATTGTTAATAAATTTAGTTTGAACAGCTTCAACTAAATTGCACAACCACCTCCAGTGCTTCTATTTCTTAATTTTCATTTTTGCTTTGGAACCTGTGTGCTTGTTGGTGGCATGAAATAGGGTTAGTGATGGTTGATTTTTGCATCCTCAAACTTCCAAAATAAAAATCTATACTTTTGTCTTTCTAAAATAAACATTGGTTTTGAATATAGTTTTCTAAGATTTACCTAAAAATATTTAACTTTTTGATAAATTTTGAGTAGGGGCGCACCATTGTCTGCTTTGTTATTTGTCCTCTTGTCACCTTTCCTGTCTAGTTTCCTTTCTAAACTCTCTGCTAGGGAATGGTGATACCTTTGGATTAAATACTACTATCTGAAGAATCCAAGGGGCTACTTCATTTGTCCTGCCCATCCATAGACATGAACTCAGTACCTCTAATTCTATTTTTGTAGTATCAGGACATTTTGTAACAAATAACTTTCTGTACCACAGTTACCTCAGCATGAAGGATGAGATTCGTTTTAATACAGTGCTATCTTAAAGATGACAGAGGAGAAAATAATATCGCTTATTTTTTGACTGGGTGACTCTTTTCAATTAACTTAAACACTGTCCAAAGTAAAATCAGCTAAACAAAAAAATAAGGCATTGTTATACTGGAGTATGCGGTCCACACAGAGATGGTTTTGCAGTATGAACTGTAGTGTTTGAAGTTGCACCTGAAGATTTAGAACTCAGATTTTCTTTGTTAAGCCGTCACTGTATTTAGGTTTTTCTATGATTGAACCAAGGACTCAATCTTAGAAAAGTTAGAGAAGTGAGGACTCAATATTCTTGATCTTTCAAATTTATGAAAGAAAAACTCTTCTTTAAAAAAAAAAAAAAGTTTGGCACCATTTATATCTTAACGGAATAAGAGATTAAGAAATGATATTAAGTTGTCTCTTTTGTGGGATTTTTTTGGTTTTGTGTTTCATTTACATCAGTGGTGCTCCAATCGTTTGGCCTCACAGGCTTCATGAGTGGAGCAGGGCTAGTCCATGGGCCAGATCAAGCCCTGCATGTCAGGATTGGGCCCTGGAGCGTGGCGTTGCCCTCTCCCTTCCCCTCAAGCTGGGAGTGGGCCCCTCTTGCATCTGGGACATTGGCAGCAGGGGAGTGGTCACACTGCTTTCCCACCATCACATTTCTGAGCCTGCCCCATGGGCCAGATAATATGGGGTTGAGCACCCCTGACTTATATGGATAAGATACTTCATAAACTGGCTGGCAAAGATATCATACGCAGGTTTTTCAGGTGTCAGATATAATTGTAAAACACCATTACTAAAGACTTCTATTGAATTAGGATCAGTAACTGTTTTGGTTTAAGTTTAAGTCTAAAGAATTTTGTCTTTGGTAAGTTCTGCTTCAAGTCATAGGTTACTTGGAGCAATGACTACAAATATTGCGGTGGATGATCCCCTCTGTTGCAGTGGATTGACAAATGATTCTGTCCTCTTCACCCAGTTTTATCTTTCTGTCCATTTTCTTCTTCACATCTCAGCTTCTATCATGGTTTAAAAATATATTATCTTTGGTCTCATCTGTTCCATTCTTTAAATCTTTCATGCACAGGCCAAGAGGGACAGGCACGCTCCTCCTTCTGCCCCTTCTCTTATTTTTTTTTCTTGCTGTCTTTACTTTTTTCCTTTTTATTCTTTTGGTTTTGTTCCTTCCTTCCTCTTACCCAAAATTTGTATGATGCTGTGGGGGAGTGATCAAGTCTACCCGAGGCTCAACTGAATGCCATTGGGGATGGCAGCCTGTGAACCTGTATACAGTAGTTGTTTCTGTAGCCATTTGTGATATGGTCACAGCAGGAGAAGGAAGAGAAGGTAAATGGCTTTCACCAAGCCAACTATCACATTTGGTTAATACCACGGTTGGTACTACAGGTTTCCATAGCAATCTTTCCCCTGTGATTCATGACATAGTCTGGCCTACCCATTCACCCTCAACTTTGGATACACTGATGTATATAAGTTTTGCTTCTTTTGCAACTAACATTTAGCATGTGGTGGTTTGCAGTGCTATCATTGGTCGCAGCAGAAAAGATTTCAAGAAATATTTGTTCAACTTCATCGCTGCAATGCCTGCTGTAAGTGCTTTTTTGTTGCCATCTCTTTGATAAAAATAATTTAAAATATAAATTGAAAAATTATAAAGAGATTCCAAGTAAGGTTTTTCAAAGCTCGCAAAAATGAGCTGTTTTATGGCATGTCATGTCTAGAAATTGGTTTCATTTTCTGGCTATAAGAAATGAGCAAGTATATGAACTAAGGTTTGATTGCCCATTGAGGCAGTAAAATTGACATAACTTTGTTGGGATCCCAGCTTTGTCTGTTGTCAGTTAAAATAGTTTCTTAAAATCTCTCTTGTCAGTCAACTACGATAGCTCTCTGTAAGCTGTCGAGACATGAGATCGGAGAGTTAAATACCATATTTTTTTTTAAATTATGATTAGAATTGAAGGCAAAATTTGTACAAGCAACTATATTCTAAATAACTTACAATTTTAAAATTGTTCCTTTTCTTTCCTCTCTTCCTTACTCACAGCCTGCTTACAAGTGTTAGGGGTATTAACAGGTGTTATTCAAATAACCCCAGCATGAAAGGGGGGCATTTTATACAAACTAACAGAAATGTATTTAAATTTTAAAATACTCTGCAAAACAAGATAATAACATTTTAAGATAGGAGTCGTGAGAGGCCAAATGCATTTTAGAACTGATTGCAAGAGTGAAAAGTTTGATTGTAGAACAAAGTTTTAAAAAAGGTATCTTGACACATTAAAATCCATTAAAAATTCTGTGAGTGCTGCAGCATGTCTGGTATGTATTGATTTGATTCACCGCTTTTAAATATCATAGTCCATGATCCTGCAAACATTTATGCGCATGCTTGCCTTCAAGTATGTACATAGTGTCATTGGCTTGAATGAGACCATGTTGAATGAGATCGTGTTTGCCTGATCTATGTCTTAGCGTGCAGATTGATTTAAGTTAACCAGGTTTGTTTAGCTAAACCAATTTTTTGCCAGTGTAATAAAGCAAGCTGGACAATACGTTTAATACAATTGAGGGGCTTGTTTATGTTAATTTACTACTATTTGTTCTTAGATCTCTCTGGTGAATAACTTCCTGAAATATGGATTAAATGAACTTAAACTTTGTTTCCGAGTAAGGCTTACCAAATACCTCTATGAGGAATATCTGCAGTAAGTGTTCATTTCTAACTTTTTGAAACGCTGAGGCTGCTATATTTGTTTTAAGTTTCTGGTGAAATGCACTTAACTAATTAAACAATAGATGGTGTTGTTATTAGACATTATAATGTTCTGAACTGCCGTTTGGCATTCAGCTACTTTTTAAATCCTTTTTGAATTATTTAATTAAGTAAAAGCCCTAGTGCAGATTTTTCTTAGTCATTGCTTTGTTTCTGTTTTAGGGCTTACACATATTACAAAATGGGAAATCTGGACAACAGAATAGCCAATCCAGATCAACTACTTACACAGGATGTGGAAAAATTCTGTAACAGTGTAGTGGACCTGTACTCAAACCTTAGCAAGGTGAGATCCTTTAATGAACCTTTAATGCATAGTTCTCATTCTGAATCACTGAATACAGTGCCAACATTTAAGGTAGTTGAGGAATATTAAATCGCATTGAATAAATGTTTAGTATTTAATTTTGTCAAAGCTCAAGCTGATCATTTGAATATAAAAATGTTTGTATATAAGAGAGTCTACCATTTATTTAATGTGCTATACCATTTGTACAGAATAATGTGCCTGAAATGCTTTCTTTACCATTTGTTTATATTTCCATGTCCCTCTTTTAAACTGTAGCTTATTTTCCTTTGGTTATCTTTTGATATTTTTATGTGTCAGCTGAAGCATAAGAGGGACAGTGGTCTTATAAATAAGCTGATGGGAAAGAAAATTCACATTCTAAATTTGCTAGTTTCTCTTGGACTTTATGTATACATATAATCTGATCAGGATAAGGTAAATAAGGGGTTTTCCTCTCTCTACCTAAGTGTTTCAGGTATGATATCTGGCTGTGGAGTAGAGGAATAACAGTGTAGGCATATTAATAGTTTAATTAATATCCTGTAGGCATATTAATAGTTTTTCTTGTATGCAAATTAGTGGGCAGGCAGGCTTCAAATATTTACTTGGGTGACTTGCTATTCAACAAATCAGCTGTGGAGTGACATAGGAGCTCTCGGTCTGTAGACTCATCTGACATTGTTATAGCTCTCATTAAAAAAATGAAGGCTTGAAAAAATAGGTTTCTGAAATGTCTTCTATATAAATTCTATAGAATTGTTTGTTCAGGCAGTGGTGGATTTGTTGTGAATAAACACAGTACTTATGATTCTCCAATGGTGTCATCTAGTTCAGACCTAGCTGTAGCAGGTTAATGTATTTTTCAAATTCTAACATCATCGTAAGTGTTTTTACAAACATGCTTTTCTTTAACAAAAATGTATAGAACATTTCCTTGTAGTATTTGTAACCCACATATTAGAAAATGGTAACATTTCATTTTTGTTTAATTATATGCAAGAAGTCATACAAAGATGAACACTACCTCTGCCCATTATCACTTTCTTTTGCACTTAAATGTTCTAGAACAGTGGTTATCAACCTTTTCTCATTTACCAAGCTGAGTGAAGCAGGCAAAATAAACAAAACTCCTAAAATACTTGACATTGTTTTATACGTTATATTAATAATGAGGCTAGAAATAATATCTTTTTTAAAAATCCTAACCTGACAATGAAAAGGAAACAGTCATTCAGTTGATTATTTTCTTAAAATGCAAGCATGTACACTACAGTGCAGTTAACTGCATTGATTCTAGGATAGTTATAGTAATCTGGGAATAAGTCAAGAGAAGTTTGTATTGTATTTAGAATGTTTATTAAGCACATTGCTAATGTGCAGTACTTTTAAGTTCCAGTTCATACCTCTCCTGGTATGAACCTTCAAACTAGAGGTGGGGGAAAACATCAATAACATGTAACAATGGTCTAATTTACTGCACTCATCGTATACATTTACAAGAAATGAGCTGTTCCCTCTTTCCTTCCCTCTGCTTAGTAAGATTAGGCAGGTGACCTTCTAAAATAGTGGTTTTCAACTTGTGGTCTGCAGACCCCTGGGGGTCCACAGACTGTGTTTAAGGGGTCTGCAAAAGATGACTCTGATCAATCAAAACTCTGTGAATACCTGCAGTTACAATTCACAGGGGCCCACACCTCCATTCACAATTTTTTAGGGGCCTGCAAATGAAAAAAAGGTTAAAAAAACTGTTCTAGAATACTAACTTCTTAAGACCTTGTTTTCACAGGTCTGATGCTTATGGGTCATTTAAAGTAGGCTATCCTATTTTTACATTGTAGAAGTTAGCAAAAATTATATGTGTATTAATAGCAAAACCCCTTTCACTTTGGCTTCTGTCACATGTAGTAATTGTTTGACCACTCTTAAGTATCTTTACAATAATTCATGAATGGTGAGTTAATTTTTTTTGTAGCGTATTGAATACGCAAGGGATACCCTTATAAACTTATGCAAACAGACAGGCACACTTAATTCCTAGAGCCTAAATATATTAGCAGATGTATCTCACTAAAGTTCTTAGTATATGGTCTGTATTCCCTAAAGGCAGGGTTTTCAGAATTAGAGCATGCCTAGTATATAGTAGCTGGCAATAGAACCTGAGCTTAAGATGTTTGGACTTTGAAAATGTTACCCATGATGAATGGCATCCATTAGTATTACTACAGTCTTTCGTAAGATATCTATCCTGTCCTTCAGGTAGGATATTCTTTATATTCTTTATGCATAGCTATCTGTGTGCCATTTCTTTCATCCAATGCACCGTATTCTGAAGGATCATTTTTGTAAGAATGGGATTTTGCCCACTTTTGCTCAGCAGTTGAGCCAAAAGATGCCATATAATAACCTTAACAAAATGTTTATATACTTTACAGATGGCCTGAAAATGAGTATTAAACGTATGTGATGTCACTATTCTTTTGATCGTATATCAAGCTGAACTGTCAGGCAGATTAGGATGTTGCTTTTGTTTCTGGATTCTAGTTAAACTGAGTCCTTGTTTTGTAGCATGTTAATTGTAGCACATGCCAATTTTAATATGCAGAAGTATCTGTTTCTTCTGGATTTTTACATACATGTTCTTTCTCTGTATTCTAATACTGTCCCCTTTTGGTTACAGCCATTTTTGGATATAGTTTTGTATATCTTCAAGCTAACAAGTGCAATTGGAGCTCAGGTAAATTAACTGGTTTTATGCTGTTTATTTACATGTAAGTAAGCAAACACTATTTTTTTTTAGCTATTCTGTCCCTTTGTGTATTGAATTACTAACCTTAGGATCACTCATTATTTGAAAAGAAAGAACAGATATAATCTGTTTTGCTTTCATGCTAATTCTGAAATGTTGTTAAAGGTTTCTGTTTTGTGCCAAAATAAAATACAGTCTCCAAATTCTCTGATCACATTTAAGCGGATAGCTGACTTCTAGAAAGACAAACAAGTTCTTTGTTTCCTTTCAGTGGTTACACAAGTCCCATTTTAATGTAGTACTCTTTCTAGCTGGATCAAGGTCTTGTATCAAGGGAGCCTACATTCAGCAAAAATGTGTTTCCTATTTCTATGCAAATTACTCCAACAAAGAAGAGCTGAGCTATTTCTTAAGTAGAGTTTAGGACATTTTATAATAAGGATACAAGTGAAGTGACATCTTAGGTTTCTTAAAACATTTAAAAGAATGAATACAAGCTCTCATGTATTTATTTTACCTTCTCAAGATTACTGTTAAACAGTTTGAATCTGAGATACAACTATCGTTTTTCTACGCATATAATAACTAAGAAGTGATAAGTCTTGCATTCCACTGTGCAATTGCTGTCAAATGTTGCTTCCTTAATGGCTAGCACTGTTTACTGTACTTTTTACTAAATGTGAACAATGAAAGTGCCTTTTTAGGGGGTATTTTGTAATGGTGCTAAGTGGTTTAAATCTGAAATTTCAAATCTGTTTAAACAGTAAAAATTGTTTGTGGCGGGGAGAGAATAAAGTCTGAGAATGTTATGGGTGAAATAATGACCTAGAGAATGTACAGGTGAGAAGGGAGAAATCAAGAGAGGTTGGAGGATGGAATCACTAGGGACTTGGTGGGGGGGAAGGGAGCATAGCAGTGTTTGGAGAGGAATGATGGGAGGAAATGGCGGTGATGAGGAAAGCAGGAATAGGAGGGTGGATATGAGGCAGGTAGAAAATTGAAGGAGGTTAGTGGGAAACAGAATCCTTAGCATGACAGGGAATTGAGTGAGTTGCTGAAATAGAAGGGATTAGAAGAGTGCTCAAAGGCAGCTTGTGGGGAGGAAAGGAAGAATTAAAGGAGCCTCTGATGGGCATAGTTCATTTGGTGTGTAAAAGCTGGAATATGTGAGACCCTTTGATTGTAGGGTCCTTATTTTTATTTATTTACTGTGTACAGGGTCCAGCAACCATGATGGCCTACTTGATTGTTTCAGGGTTTTTCCTCACACGTCTGAGGAGACCCATTGGTAAGATGACCATTATTGAACAAAAATATGAAGGGGAGTACAGATATGTCAACTCACGTCTTATCACAAATAGGTATGGATTTGTTTGGAGAATAGCTGTAAATAGGATTTTTTTTTGTAAGCAGTATCATTGTCCTACAAAGCAGATGGAAGAAAACTATTTGAGTAAATTGTAAAAATCTAGCAGAATTCATTAATTTTGAAACCAAGGTTTACATAATTTTGCAGACCACCAGCTAGTGGGAAAATTCCATTTCATCTCCCATTTTAAAGGACAAACGATGTCCTGCTATTTTCTTGTGGTTAATATTAAACTCCTCCTTGTTCACAAGTTAATTTAAATGCAGCAGTTTTCTAAAACTTCATTTTTATAGCTAAGCCTTTGTCTTGTGGAATGTTTGGGTAAAGAAATTCAATATATATATTTTTTTATCTTTTAGTGAAGAAATTGCTTTTTATAATGGGAATGTAAGAGAAAAACAGACCATTCATAAAACCTTTCGTAAACTGGTAAGATTTGAATATCATAAATGCTAACTTTTTAAATTGTAAACATTGTAAGGAATATTGTCATGATGGTTCAGAAGTGCTGGTTGCTTTGTTTCTGTTCGTTCTGTCCTTCAGCCAGAACTACACTGGTGAAAGGTCTTTGAGGGAACCCCACTACCAGCTGCTTTGGTGCACATGCACCAAAATCACTCTTGGATTCTAAGAATTTTAACTCTAAATTTCTAATATGTCCTAACAGCCTAATCTTTACTTCAGTGAGTGAGTGATTTGCTACTGTAACTGAAATGATCTTTACTACATATTATACAGACTTGCAATAGTGCCTCTGGGCAAAAGAACGATAGCTTCACTAATGGGAGAGGGCCGATTTTGGAGCAGTCTTGGGTTCCTGTGGTGGTTGGACCCAGATGATGTATAGCTGTATACTGAAGTATAGCTGCCCATTATTTTGTTAATTAACCAAGTAAAATGTCAATTTTGTGGGGAAAAAAGCATGCATCTTGTATTCCAGGGGTATCAAATACATGGCCTCTGAGCTGGATCTATTAATCAGAGCTATGTTGTTTGGCCTATGGGGCTCCAAGAGGGGACTGGGAATTCAGGGTTGGGGCCTGCTGCCGAATATGATGTACAGAGCTCCACTGGGAACGTATGTGGTGGTGAGGACTGAGCAGTAACTGCATTAACCCTCATGGCTCCCTGACACCACTTGCCCTACTGCCAGATGTGGATCTGGATCTGGGACCACAAGAAGCCCTACTATCTGGATCCAGACTGTGAGGAGCTCCATGATCTGGATCCAGATCCAGCCCAGAGGGCTGTGTGAGTTTGATACCCCTGTCATATTCCATTCAGGAAGATAGATTGTATAGTAAAAGCTCTGTTATCTGGCATCCAGGGGAAATGGGGGGTGCCAGTTAATCAAGTATGCTGGTTATCTGAGAGTTATGTTTATCTCCAGCCTGGTGGGTTGGAGGTGTCTTTGCCTGTTCAGACTGCCGCCCCTCCCGCCACATCCGGTGTGCCAGGGTCTTCACCCCCTGGTGTCAGTGGGCCAGGGGACAGGGAGCGGGGCCCTATGCAAGCTGCTTTGCCTGGCTTGTGGGGACTTAGCTCACGGTGGTGAAATGGGAATTGCCATGGTGGGATAGATGCCGGTTAATAAAGCATTCCGGATGATAAAGTGCCAGATAACACAGCTTTTACTGCATATTCATCAAAAAGAATAAGATACATGGCTGTGAGGAAAAGGGTGAAAGCAGTGAGCCTTTCTTGCTCATAGCAGAAATGCACTGGGGAATGCATACAAAGTGTAATATTAAAAAACTTCTCCTGAAGCTCTTTAGTCAGCTATCATTTCCCATGTTGGTTGGTTGAACCTCTTGCCCTTTTGCTTCTTTTGAGTTCATTAAAAAAACCCAGCCCTGCTGCTATAGCTCTTTTCCTGGTTCTGTAATTCTGCTTGTGTAATATACCTGTTTGCTACCATTGAATCCATTTGCTGGTTGTCTCTTTCCCATCAGATCACATCTTAAACTATGTGTAATCAGTTTCACAGTCTTCAGCTATTTGTTCCAGTATCTATCCACTCTTGTTTCCTTTTCTTTGCTAGTTTATGCTAAATTCAGCAGTTGTCTGTCTACTTAAAACACCTCCATACTTTATTCTACTTGCATGTTGTACCATCTTGGAGAGGCAGCCAATAAAATCATTATCAACTCCTTAAATTCCTCCTCCAAGCCATTTATGTTGTGATACCTATTATAGAACAGTATATAAATATCAGACAATAACTATGCCTAGGTGTTTTAGTTTAGGTTTAGCTCATTATTTACTTACTTCACATTTGCTGATTATTTGAAGCCAGAGCAACTCTACCCAAAAGTGATCTTTATTTCACTTTGTGGCAGGGGGAAGGGGATCCCTCCACCTGTTGCAGCCTGTCCTGCCTCCCTGCCCTACTCAGAGTCTTCCCAGTGCTGCTCATCTGCTACCCCTTGTTGGGAAAAGCATTAATACGGGAGGTCTTACTGCTGCTCAAAGTGGAAGGGGGTGGGGCTTGAGGCTGTGTCTCACTGCCTGGTGGGGTTCCTAGTGTTGGGTATTGTCCTGGGTTTTCTGATTAGATCATTGCCTCTACCAGTTTCCTTCTTTCTTGCAGTCTGGTTCCTTAAACTATGCCTCTCGGTTCAGGGTTTCAGGCTCTTGGCTAATCCAGGGTTTCCAGCCCTCTGGGGTTAGAACCCAAGACTCTGGACTTTGCCACCACCTTACTTAGTCTTGCATCACTGCAACAGGCGCTCAGGCTGTCACCAGCAGCTCCCCCTGCTTCTTCCTGGGAAGTAAGTTAGGCGGTGTTGGGACACCCTGTCCTGCAGTTCCGCATCTCCCCTTACAGCCACTCCTAGTCCACTGGATGTCTGTCAAACAAAAGAAAAAATATTCAACATAAACTTCTTCCCCTCCTCAGGGCTCTGGCCTATGAACCCTTAGTTTACCAAATCAGCAAAAAAAGAAAACTCCAATGAAACTTCTTCCCCTTTTGGGGCTACTTACAGGGTTTGGCTGGGTCTGCTGTCCTCCTGGCTGGCAATCTGGCCTTCTCCTTGGTCAAGGCCCCACTACCCCAACCCCTCTGCAGGTTGAGCTTTTATCTTTCCGAGCTGCTCCCCTCTCCCAGTCATGGGACCCACTCAGTTGCACCTGGCCCTTGTTGGTCCAAAAGGTCCTGATCTTAAAGAGACCAAGCCTACTTTCTGGTCGTCTTTCTGTACTCTTCGTAACAGGGGCTAGTCCCCTGTTACACTCTTCTTATGTCCTCTTTTTTTCCACTACACATATGTTTTCCTTTTCTTCCTTGTTACTCAGTTTTGTGTTTTCTAGTAGATTGGTTGGTAAGCACTTGTATGCAGGGACAGCTGTCTGCATGTATTTATGTAGTGTCTAACCCAGGGGTTCTCAAACTCTGTGATACCATGACCCCAAGTGCTGAATGGTGGTGGCAGGGGACGGGGAGTTCACGCTCAGCAGCTGCCACTGCCATCCACCCTTCCATGCCATCACTGCATGCCGCTTCCCATGCTGCTGTGCGCACCCTTTGAGTTAAGTTTGCGCCTCCCTTTTAAGTTGCTCACAACACACAGTTTGAGAACCCCTGGTCTGACCCAATGAGGTTGCAATCCTTATTGGGGCCTTTGTGACTTATTACAAATCAAATAATTTTTTATAATCTAATTTACTTTTCTGGTGTAATTGCAGACAACATAGCAAATATTGGCATGTACTTTATATTTTTCTCTCCTGTGTTTTATCAGGTGGAACATTTGCATAATTTCATCTTGTTCCGGTTCTCTATGGGTTTCATAGATACCATCATTGCTAAATGTAAGTATTCACAAAGTGCTAGTGGTTTGTTACTTCTGTCATGACAAACTGTGTTAAATGTTTACCTTTAAATCTTGCAGATCTTGCCACTGTGGTTGGTTACCTTGTTGTTAGCCGTCCATTTCTGAATCTAACTCATCCTCGCCATCAAAATAGTAACCATGCAGAACTATTGGAGGTAAGTAATATAGAACAGAAATAAGAAATAAATATTCTGATTGCTTGAATTTTGGAAATTCACATAACTAAACGCAGTTTATATTTTGCTGCTTAAGGATTATTATCAGAGTGGAAGAATGTTACTAAGAATGTCTCAAGCTTTGGGCAGAATAGTCCTAGCAGGCCGTGAAATGACCAGATTGGCTGGGTAAGAGTGATATTGGCTAATCAAAGTTATCTTATTTTGGATAAATACAACTCATGTCTCCAATGTATTTTCTGTTTACACATGGAACTTCTAAATTAACACCAAACAAGCCTGTGTTTATTTGCTTAGTATAGCAGTCTAAATATTTACAGGTTAAATGTCATCTTATTCAGAAAAATAGTAGATATTTTGAATATCTATGGGTTGGCACTGACCACCATGTATATATTTGTGTTTTATAATATGTATGTAAATAAGTTCACAATTTAACATTTTGTATCAGAATACTGATATTTTAACTATATTTAAATTAAAAATTATAATACTTTTTAAAGTTTAAAATATCTGACCAATTTAAGAGGCAGTTGTGGATGACAGAGGTTATGGAGTTTAAATATTCAAGTTGGGAGGTCTTTAGTGTAATTCTGTTTTAGGCAGTTATATTCTAAAGGCCCGCGATATCAACTTGTACATAACGCATACATTTTGAAGCAACATACTTTCAGAAACTATACCCTCAGTCATCTTGCAGAAATGTGATTCTAGTCCTCCCAATATTATGATTTTCAAGTTGTAATTTAATATTTTTAGGGGTTTCCTTCTCCATTTAATTATAAAATAAGATTTCTAAACATGAATTCTTAATTCATTTCAGCTTCACAGCTCGAATTACAGAATTGATGCAAGTATTAAAGGAGTTGAACAGTGGCAAATATCAGCGTACCATGGTATCACAAGAAAAGGGTAAAAGTGACAAGTTTAATTGATAACACTCTTTTCATGATATACATAAGCCTACTTTCTAATGTTTGTTTTTGTTTCATTTTGTTTATTAATTTAAGATGCAGATAGAACTCAAGTTATTCCTTTGATACCTGGTTCTGGAGAAATCATCAATATTGATAACCTTATCAAGTATGTATAGATAGCACTTCAATAATTATGGCTTTGTAACTTTTCCTTATATCTCTATGAATACAAGTTTGGATAAAGAGAAATTTTAGCCACTTAAATAGAGAGGATGAGCTGCTGCTTGGGAAAACACAGCAGCCGTTAATACTAACTGTTATACATGCATGATCCTGTAGCAATAGAAGTTACCTAGATCACCCCAACTTTGACATGAATAAAGCAGTTTTAAAGTTGGAATAGTTTTGCTACTCGTATCTCTACAGAATCACTATTATATAACGTAATAGTTGTATTGTAACAACTTGTATCATTATCCTTTGACAGCAATACAGTTGTTATGTCTGTTTATACTGTTATAAAGATGCTAATTGTATTACTTCCATATGTTCAGTATCTACTAGATTTTTTTCTCATAATCCCTCATCCACAAAACAGTTCACAACCATTTTGCTCTTTACTGCTACTACTGTCTGTTCTCTAGACCCAACCTTTCCAGTAAGTTTTTCTGCTCTCAGGTTATTATGGCCTCAGGTTGTTGTTTTTCCTGGTACTTAAGCCTTATCTTTCCTGACTAGAATTTCTACATTGACTTCCTAACATTTTCCATATACAGTTGGAAGTGTTTTGGAGGTATCTGATAAGTACATATCTGTGCCTGTTCTTTCAGTTAGTGCCTGTCAAATTACATCCTACTTCTTCAGTTTATTAAAAAAGCAAAGCAAAATACATACATTATGAAATCTATTCCACAAAGCAGTCAAGGTTTAATCACTGGGTGCGTCTACTCACCTGTAAGTCATCTGCCTATATTTTGATACCAGCTTCCACAGATTTCACAAATTAGCACTATACATACTCAGTATATATGTACTTAATAATAGTAATTTGTCAATTCTACCCATAGGTTTGATCATGTCCCATTAATAACACCAAATGGAGACATGTTGATTAAAGATCTTAACTTTGAGGTAAGTTCTAATATATTAAGGTGATTTTCCTACAAATTTACTCTATTAATTTGAAGAAAGGAAAAAATATAAACAAGGCATGTTTTTCAGGCAGCTGTCAATTATAATCATATTTTTATCAAAAATTGCTATTGGTATTACTTCACCAGATACTAGGTTTTAAAAGCTGAGGGTTTTTTTCCAAATCTACGTTTCAAATTTAATGCAGTTTTTATTCTACTTTCTATATTTCACTTCCTTTTGACAATACAATGTAAAACTTTCATTTTGAGGTTCTCCTGCATTAGCCTGATGCTGTAGCATTACATATACACATCTTATTTTGACTGGTGTGTATGCATGTATATGTTTTCAACACTTTTTGATTTCAAACCAAGAGTGTCTGCCCATTTTTTAGTCTTATATTTTCTTCAGAAAGTACACAAATTAATGCAAAGAGTGAATGTCTACATGAGTAGAAAGGGAAACTTTTAGTGAATTTTAAAAACAAATGCTTTAATTCAACTGTAAAACCTCACCTCTTTTTTCCATCAAAATCTACATTTGAGTTCTAAACTAACTAAAAGCATCTTACGTATTTATTGCAGTCATAGCTAGAAATGCTTGCAGAAATGCTGTGGTATAGATCAGAAATTCGAACAACATAGTGTAATGAATTCAGCCTAGGATGTAATGAGATTTAAAAAAAGGTTCCTTCCCACCAAAACAAGGAAGAGTGAAAAAAGTTTATCAGTTTATCTACCTACTTTCAGGCCCCTGACACCTATTGTACTTAAGATGTGATTAACCAGTTAAATATGTGGCCAGGTCACTATTTAGGACATATTCATTCCTATGGTGCAATAAAACTAGGAATAAGCGACAAAGTTATTATACAAAATATGTGTAAAAATGTTGTGGCAGGTTGCTGTCACATTTTAATTGAATCTGTGGGCAGTAGAGTACACAGGAGCACACGAGTGTGCTCTGGAGGCTGGGAGCTGGGGTCAGTTGATTGGGACTCCCAGCTGGGGAAGCACAATGAATGCTCCCAGCTGAGTCCTGATGAGCTGACAGAGCTCCCAGCCATGGGGAGTGCATGGTGAGCCCCTGTGGCTGGGAGCCTTGTCAGCTGATCAGAGCCCCCAGCCACCAGGGTGCACCATACACCCCTGCAGCTGTTAGCTCTGTCACCTGATTTGAGCAGTCAGCCATGTTAGCACATGGTGTGTCCCAAGGCCTAGGAGCTCTGATCAGCTAACTAGCTAATAGTGCTCCCAGTCACAGGACCGGATGGTTCTCCCCTGAGGCTGAGAGTGCAGTTGTTAGAAGAGCTCCCAGCTGTGGGAGCTTGCTTTCCCCCCTCAATCCACTACCCTCTCACAGCTGAAAGCTCTGATCAGCTGACACAACTACCAGCCATGGGGGCACATCATGGGTTCCCACACTAGGAGCTCTGTCAGCTGATTGACACTTTCAGAGAGGGGAGCACATGTGCCAACACTTGAACTAGGTGCATTATTTAAGGTTGATTATTGCTTAAATGAGGCATCAGGTTTCAAGTTTCATAACTTCTGTTTTATGTAGTAAGTTCACTAGGTGGCACTGAAAGCTCAACTTTTTCCTGTCCTAGTTACTGCTGTAGATTTAATATAAAAATAAAAAAGTCATTCTGAAAAACAAGAATTTCTGTCAAAATTGTAATGAAGTTGAAAGGTATTTAAATGCTGAAATGTGCTTTAAAGTTGAAAATAAGAATCTATAACTTTTAAGAGAGGTAATATAAATGAAGTTCAGGTTGCATTTTAATTTTCTCCCCAGTACCTCATGTTTAAGTTTTGTGTATAGTACTACAAATATTAACTCTTGAATAATTACTCTTGGGCCTTGTTTGAAGTTTGTGGACCTTTGTTAGGCTGGAAGGAAAGCATGATAACCAAATAATTCCTTGTCTGTTCTTAATCTGAAAAGTACAGTATCAGCTTGATCTGGTAAATTCAGAGTTTAGTAATTTTCCTGAAATTGGGCTACTTTATAAAATAGTGCCTAGACAGTGATGCTTACTGTGTATACAGTCAAGGGGATATGGCCCCACCCATGGAAGACTTACACTTTCAGCAGGCAAAATGCATGCAAAAGTTGGAGATGACATATAACAAAAGCAAGATATAAATGGCAGAGGCACAGATTTATGAGAGTGATATATATATATATTTTTTTATTGAACAAACTGCATGGTTGGGATAGACTTAGACAAGCTTTTGACTGGTCTGGGAGGGAAGGGTAGTATCCAGGCAAAGCCCCCAGCCCATTCCCCAAATTGGGCAGTCCCCAGTTTGGGGAAGAGACAGGAAGCATTGCCTCAGTTCTCCCTTCGCCTCCCAGACTGATCAGCGGGAGGGGAGTAGAATGGTGGGAAAAGAATCCCCGTCCCTTCTGCAGACCTGGGTGTCTGGTAAGGGAGCATACAAAAGTTATTTCTTGTGAGAGAATTTCTCCCATAAGGAAGGACTTCCTCAGAAAGATCTTTCTCCCAGAAGAGGCCTGTTTCCCCTATGAAAAATTAAGTGGACTCTTGTGCACTTGTAGTTTTTTGCAGGAGAGCAGCAGTTCTCCTGGCAGAAATGTAATGCCTGTCTGTGACTTCTGTGTGATCTTGAACTCACCGCTTGTTGATCTTGGTCCACAAGTTAGAGGATCATGCAAATTTTATAATTTTTACGTGGGACCCAGCAAACTCTTCTCAATTAGTTAGCTATCAGCCTTCATTGAGGCTAGTAAACTGAAAAAACTTGAAGATGGCTCTTGAAAGACCATTAGTCTCTTACAATGGAACTGAATTAACTTGTCTTACTTTAAACCCCCAAACCTTGATCTTGTCGCATGAATATTTTGTAGTTTGTATTATTTTTAAGTGTGGAATAATTTTACCCCACCATCACACTGTACATAGAAGGTGTCAGGTGGACTTCTTTAGTTTACCAAAATTGAGTTTATTATGTAAAAGATGGTCTCATGCCTATGGAAACCCTAGCATATCTCAGGACCAATGCAGACTTTTTACATTTCATTAATAGTGTCATACATTGATTTGTATTTTAGGTTCGATCTGGTGCAAATGTTCTGATTTGTGGGCCAAATGGATGTGGGAAGAGTTCACTTTTCCGTGTTCTTGGTGAGGTAAGGCTGCACTAATAACAGTATTTTTTTTTTTTTTTAAATTAAAAGAATTTTTTCTCTAAATGTTAAAGCTTTCTTTTTCTTTTGTTATAGTTGTGGCCTCTGTTTGGTGGGAGACTGACCAAACCTGAAAGGGGAAAGTTGTTTTATGTTCCTCAGGTAAAGCAAAGTACCATAGTACTTAATACCGACCTTTATGCCTGTATTTGTTGACTATTATGAAGGTCTGTCAGGTTGTACTTACCATTCGCAACTGAATTCCAGAGACCATATATGACCCTTGGGACACTCCGAGACCAAGTAATATATCCAGATACCTTAGATGACCAGAGGAGGAAGGGGATATCTGACCAGGTAAGAACAATCATCTCAGTGACCATTATTTAGAATAATGTCTTTTTCTGGATTTATTATTTTTAAGTTTAGGGATATTTGCTATATTCTGAAAAAAAACTCCAGGTTTTTCCAAACTACAGACCTGTTCTGAAACCCTTTCTAAGCCTCCCCACCCCCCACATTGAATACAAACATAAAATGTTAATAAAACTGATGGTCCTAAAAACCTTCCGTCTGAGACATTTTGCAGCATAACAGGCTTTCTCTTACCCTACCTTTCCTTTTCTTGTGAGTTATTTGGTAAACATAAATTTGTAACCAGTCCAGGGTCCTTATCAGTTCGCCTTTAACTATGCCATACTGAATGGCTGCTTCTTCAGCCATTTACAAACTTCCCATTAGCATTCCAGGCCAAGAGAAGTTGAGAATATTATCCATCTGCTAAAGCCTGACTTTATTTCCCATTTATTTGTTGATAGGCCCCGTAAGACTGTGTTTCTGCAAGCTGCTCTATGCAAGCAGCTCCTCCCTATTTTCATGTACATACCTGCATGGAGCACTTTGCAAAAATGGGTCCTACTACTGCAAGTTGTAGTACTAATGTTTTTAAATGCTTTGGCATAAGATGCTAAATGTTTGGAGTAAAGTTTGAAGTTGGGGACTTTGTTGAATTTCAGTATTCCTTTAAGCATGTTTAAGTGGTCATTCATTTTTAATCACGTTGTTGTGGCAATTAAGTAGATTAAGTTTGGTTATATTTTTAATGCTTTAGCACCAGTATTTTGGATGAATTAAATGAATATTTATTGAATGGTATTAATAGATATACCCGTGCTAATATGAGGAGTCATTACAATGTAAAGCATATATAAAGCTATACCTATAACCATTATTCTCCTGGAAGGTACTGCAGGAGTACTTGGACAATGTCCAGTTGGGTCCAATCCTGGAACGTGAGGGTGGCTGGGATAGTGTTCAGGACTGGATGGATGTGCTCAGTGGAGGAGAAAAACAGAGAATGGCGGTATGTCTCCATCATATGCTCACAAAATTCTGTGTATTAGAACAATTCATTTGAAGCTCAATCAGTGTCTAGTCAGTAAATATTTTTACTGTTTTATTTTTTTAAAATTGACATCTGAAACTTAGGAAAATTAGCATGTAGATAGGCAGTATCTTTCATGGCTTTAATATGAAATTTTGGGTTTTTTTGTTATATCTGTATATTTATTTTCTGTGAGTGAATAAATTAAAATACTGTCTGCATTATTGGGCTAATAATAGTTAAAGATAAATATATTTTTGTCTTGGTAACTTTCTAGTTTTTAGTTAAGTGCTTTCTATTTAAAATTCCTGATATTATAGAAATTGGTGGTGCTGGTTCTGTATTCACAAATGCTATTTTGCTTTACATTTCAGATGGCAAGATTATTTTATCATAAACCACAGTTTGCAATTTTGGATGAATGTACTAGTGCTGTTAGTGTCGATGTAGAAGGATACATTTACAATCACTGCCGGAAGGTAAGTTTTTGGTTTGTTTACGAGTTAAAGTAGAAATGAAGTATAACATTTATGTTGTTTGTGAAAAACTGGTAAAAACATCAAATTTGTATAATTCAATAATTTATTTCAAACAAACTATTCAGACTTGTCTAACATCTAAGTCTGTTTAACATCCCAAGATAATTTTATACTTTTCGTGGCATAAAACCTCTCTCACTGGCCATGCTGCAATCTAGGACTTGGAGTTTAAAAACCAGTATATTTATTTAAGATAAAACCTAAACATGTTAGAACATCTTTCAAAAATCAACTAAAGGAAAATATTTTAAACACCATGCTGTTCACACTTCTTTTCCCCTTTCTCCTACACCATCATTTCTGATTCTCTTAAAAATTCTGTGTGGTTACATACATTCCCTGTTAATTATTAAAGTCTTGAAGGGGGAGGGTGTGTGTGCGTGTGTGAGAGAGAGACACACACAGCTCACCTTTTAAAATATCAAGCAAGGTGATCAGCAAATTAGTTAAAATATTGTATGTGTTAATGTTTATTGTGTATGTTCTCTTACCATAGGTTGGCATCACGCTGTTCACAGTCTCTCATAGAAAGTCTCTGTGGAAACACCATGACGTATGTAGTCTTTGTTTTTTCTTGGGGATTACGGGTTAAGTCTTTATTGTGTATAAAATAGCTATAAATCCAATTATGTTCCAATATCTTGCCTTTCAACCAAATATGCTTGCTTAAAGGATGATAGATGTTATTTTCATAGTCCTTTAGCAGTATCTGAAATATTCACAAATACTAATGAAAATTGAAACAGTTTACAGTTCTAAATTATACAGATAGCTCTGTCCTGAAGAGCTATCCATATAAAATATCCAAAAGTCAGAGTATTTTTGTCATTTGGGGGTATTCATTAGAGGGGCTTGTAGCTAAACAATCGTGAAGTTTTTCAAATTAGGATATTAATGAATGTGTTTACAAGTATATTCATTAAATTTTGTTAGAGTTGTATGTCTGACTTTTTTGTACGTGCCCTAAAAGCCAGTTAAGAGTTTTTGTTTATAAAAACAAGAATTTGATTTTAATACTGTTGAATACTTAGGATATTTTTAATCCTGTAAAAATAAATAAATACATGATGATGATGACAGCAGCAGCAGCAGCCATTGTTTCCTTTACAATATAAGATAGTTTTACCCATTCCCAAAGGGTGTAGAGGTGAAGAAATCTGGTGGATGCATTCAGGTTCTGGTGGGGAATTCTGCCTTTACACAGAGGTTTGGAAAGGATTGTTCAGTACATTAAGCATTCTGAAAACCCTTTTGAATGTTTAAAACAGTATAAAAACAAAAACAGTATATCTAATTTTATATGGACAAAAGCATACACAGTTTCACATGTAATTAATGCCATATTTTCTTCAAATTGGGTATTCATTATGTAAGTGACCTGTAACTCGCATATATAATTATCACAACAAATCAAGTTGTAATGATATCTACCAGCAGATGGAGATAGACTATATATAAAAGAAACAGTATACTGTCTCTCAAGGGTGATTACATTGTTCAGGCATTGCAGTAGGACTCAATTATTCCTTAACCAGTTCAATGAGGGTTTAGATTTTACTCTTTTAACGAATTGCTTTCTACTAAAATTTGTTGTGGTAAACAAGAGTAACAAAAATATCTTTTGTCGTTGTTAATGCATACTTTTTATTCCAGTTTTATCTACACATGGATGGGAGAGGAAATTATGAGTTCAAGAGAATTACTGAAGACACCATTGAATTTGGATCATAAAATCTATAAAGGTGCAGTGCTACAGAGACTGATTACAAGAAATGTGTAGAAAGGCACAGTGCATTGTAAAATAAAACTACTTGGCTTGTTTTTTAAACAAATTAGCTAGGTATAGAATAATCCAAAACAAGCTATTTAAACATTTATTATTATGTAGGATATTGCTAATTGTGTATATGTTGGTTTAATTATTAATATGTACTAAGAATGTCCTTATTCTTGTGGTTAAAAACCTGCCTAAATTAAATTGGGCTTAAATCAATGTAATCTGATTTGTCTAGGGATGTAAACCATTTGAAGTCAGTTCATCTGATTTTTTTTTAAATGGACCTTCCTTTCCTTCAGTGAAGAACCCAGTTAAATTAGGGTTACTACATTTTTTTTTTTTGTCCCTGGCCAAACAGTTGTCGGTTTGTATCATCTGTTAATACTTCTGAATTATCCCATGTATTGCAGCCCTTTTTATGGCATGTTATCTTGTCACACTGCTAGCTTGGGTAGACACACTTTCTGTAACTGTGTGTTATGGTCAGTGTTTGCATGTACACCGTTTCTGGTGTAGGTGGGCTAAACCAAGATGGCAGGAGCCTAACTTTTTTTGCTGCTAAAATGATAGGCTTATCCCACTATGCGTATGGAGCCTTTCCAGTGTTGGCTTATCTATAGATCCCTCTGGCAGCTATAATATTTCCTGTTTAGAACTGTGTTAATGTGACAGTTCTAGGGAGCGGAGTATGATTTTAGTTCCCAAGGAAATGGTGGAGGGAAGCAGATTAAGAGACCAGTCCTCCTTTTGAAGTCCATAGGAATTTTACCATTGACTTAAATGGGAGAAAAAGAATGGACTCAAAATCCATCCTTCCCTCTGAAACCTTTATCACCTCTCCTTGGAAGTTCCATTTCATTGGTCAGTGGCAGACTTCTATCTGTCCTGTATGCTCTTATTCCTGGGATAAGGCTAGTGGCCATTTTTTCCAGTCTCCCCTTTTGGCAACCTTTTCAAACTAAGGTGAACACCTATTCAGCAGCTGTACTGTATAGGTTTGGGTTTTAAGATGAGCTGTGATGGTAATCCTCATTTTGGGGTTTTGGTTCATTTATTTTGTTGCCATGTTTGAAATGGTACGTCTCAAATTCTTCAGGATGTCTCCATTTTCCAGAGGGCTTTTTTTTTTTTTTTTTTTTTACTGTTTCTGATCAATTAGGCAATTGTTCTGTAAATTTTTAAATTATACATAGCTAGTTCCCAAACAGTGTCTATGAGCTACTAGACCTGGATTACTGGTTATTATTCCAGCTGTCAAATCTAATGAAAAGACAGCTACAAGTACAGCTAATGCTTTATATGAAAAATAGTTCTAGTCACAGTTACTATAGCTGCTACATGATTTAACAGGATCGCAAAAAAGATCAGGACGTAGGAGTGTGGTAGTCACTGAGAGTGTTCGGTTGTATTCCATGCTACCAAAAAAAATCCTTGGTATGCACTGAAGGTCTGATAGCTCTTTGGTGTTGCACACATGCTGTAACATAGGAATGCACGACATGAAGGCATGCACTGAATATGCAATAAATGTGATCTCTGTACATCTTTTATTAAGGTTTTAAATACTTATTTTCTTTTTGTAAAATTGATATGCATATGGGTTTACATCTGCCTGTTTGTGAGTAGCTTAGCTGTGTGAATACTGGATACCATCTTTCATGATAAAATTGTTACTCTGTGTAAACACTTTCCCTCTTATATTGAAACCTGAAATTTTGAGATTGTCATAGTCCTTGTCCATATCACTTACTGGTGATCTTTCTTCACACAAGAAATGCCAATGACAACATTCAGCTACCCAATGACACAGCAGGTAAATTTGAACAGTTACAGAGTTAATCAAAAAAATATATCTTTGAAGCCTAATTTCATTTAGGGATCAGGGAAGCAAATTGTGTGTTCATTCCACAAGAGCTACCATATTTACTACATTTTAATTTAAATTAAATTTTAAACTTTCAAGTCATAATTTACAGTGAAGCAGCTAGTGCTGCTGTAAATGACTGTAGTCTATTTCTTATTGCCCTATATTATCAGGGTTTACCATGATTGCTTTTTTTGTGGAATTTTTCATCCCCAATGCAACATTTTTTAAAGGAAATGATTTAGTAGCTTTTTAAAGAGTCAAAGTAAAAAAAAAAAATCCTTAAATTAGGATATCCATTTTTATTTTTTTGGTTAGAGAGACATCTTCAGTGATGTAAAGTAGTGGATTTAGGATATTTTTTAAAAATGTGTTTTTAGTTATGTGTTTTTTGACACTAACAAGCAAAAACCTCTCAAAACACATTTATATGGCATCCTCTGCAGCAAGACCCAGGGTGCTTTACAATTCAAAATGGTTACTAACAGCACTGGGTGATAAACATCCTCAGTTTTGCCTTAAAAACGAACACGGATTCTGCTTCAGAACAAGGGAGGAATATCTCTATCTCTGTAACATAACATCAGTTGAAATTGATGGCGCTCATTTCCTCATAAAACCAGGTCCTTAAATCCTTAAACATCTAGGTCTTGATGTCCCAAAACCTACATTGAGGGTAAACTAAAAAAAATCTAGTTTAAAAAAATGTTTTTATTGTCAGTCTGACAAAGAAACTAAAACCCTAGTGAAGGTGAACAAATTGTGATTCGGTTCCAAAATTAAGCTCTGGTGTTTGTATTCTAGTTGCAGTCTTTTTAATTGCTCAAGCTGGAAGTTTGAAAATAAAGGATATAATAAGTCACGCTGAGACTGAAAATACTGAGAAGCATCTCCATGGCCTCAAGTATGGAGTCTCATGCTGGTGATATTTTGAAGCAGCAGTGGTGTGGTCAGAGGTGTCTGCATTTCAATGGTGGGGGGAAAAAATTCCTGTATGTGTGTATATTGTAAAGCGCTTTGTGGGGAAAAGGCGCTATATAAATGTACAACACGAAGTGCCTTTGAAATAATAAATCTAAAGAAAAATTACTTCTAGGCTTTTTATATTTGTTGATTGATGTAATTAGCAATTCTGTTATTTAATAATACAAAGAAAAGTGCATGTTCGGTAAACCTAGTGCCAGTTTATAAAACTTTTGACCTGCAGTCAACTTCATAAAATTAATTGCATTGTTTGCATGAAATTCATACTCTGATCAGTCAGATTTATTATAATCACTCTCAACTTAGCTAATAGAAACAAAGAACTAAATATTGTAGAAATGGGTATCATGGCAATTATCCTGTGGAAATGATCAGTATCTTTTCATTTTTATACATTTTTGCAAGGTTATATGGACTGTCAAGACTGAATAGATGATCAAGTTCTGAAAATGGACTATAAAGACCAAAGTTCTACAGTTCCTTGCTATTTATCAGGCTGTAAAGAGAGAGGTTTCCAGTTCAGTCTACCTTCCAAAAGACTACTGGTGATTACCCTGTCTGCTCTGATCTGTTCTCTCTTCCTTCCCAGGGGTAAAAACTCCCACCATCTGAACACTTAGAATTTACTTTTGTGTGTGTAAAGGATGACCCAGAATTTGCTCCATGAATTAATTAAAAAACACTTGTGTTATAATTTACTTTTTATTCTTTTAAATCCTGATACCAATTCCTTGTTCACTTTATTGGGATTTAAATCTTTAACACATCTCCAGTCTAGCTTTCCCAAATCCTTTAGTTCTCTGAGACTGCTGACGTGTTATTTTTGTAACACCATGAAGTTTGTAGCCCTATAAAAATATAGGGTGTGGACATGTGCACAGCTTCCTGGCTGAAGCATAACAGAGTTGCCATAAAGTCATGCTTTCCATCCAGGAGACAAAAGAAGGCTACTTCTTAGCTCCCATTACTCCCAGGGGAGGTTTTCAGTGAGCCAGACATTCCTGATGGGGCTGCATGCAAGTGGGGAACTTTAAAAGGCTGCTGGTGGTTGAACACTAGCAGTCTTTTAAAGTTTCTATCTCATAGGCAGCCCAGTTACATTTGTCACTGGGCAACAAAGGTGACAGGGCTGCCTGCAAAGGCTGACTGGGCGGTTTGCACTACGAGATCAACCCCTGCCACTGCTGCAAACCAGTTCCTGAAGGGCTCCCTGACAGATTCCTGCTGGTCAGGCTATCAGGGACTCAGCCAGCCACTGTCTCTCCTTCCCTCCCTGGCCCCCAACCTTTGGAGGCAGAGAGAGAGAGTAGAGTACTGTGGGATACTGGGCCAGAGGGGCTTAGAGAGACCTGTGCAGATGTTAAATTTGTTGTGGAACAGTTTTGAGCCACAAAGAAATTGCTTTCTCAAACAGTGACTTCTTTGGGGTGGGTTTGGTGTTTTTGTGGCAGATCCACCATTTTTATAGCATAACCAACAGCATGTAAAGTGCAACAAATGTAACGACCTGATAATATCTACATTTAGGTGAAATTTTTGACATAGAAAATACCTTATGTGAGGTGAGTATGAAAATGCCAAACATCCTAGGCTTGCGTTTTGTAAGACTCACTTATCTGTATATATCATGATCTTAGTATTTGCTGCTTATATATTGGCCTTTATATAATTTTTATTTATGAATTACAGCTCTTGAGTAAATTAATTCTAAAGAAGTTACAGTGTCAAAATAAAGCCAGCCTGGCCCATGCTAGTTACTTAAAACACTATTGCTTTGGTGCTAGTTTTCCCAATGGTGGTAATTGTTGATGGTCCAATGGAAACCGATGGCACTGGAAATGGGTTCTGCTGCACACAGTAGAGGTGAGGTGGTTTGCTTTGGTTCAGACTGCTGGTTTGCATTCTGATTTCTCACACTTAACACCATGTTCTAGAGCAGGGATGTTCAGTCCAACATATGGGCAGTTGGTGTGTGGCATTCAGCAGATTGGGGAGGGAGCAGGGAATATGGCGGCAGATGGGGCAGGGAGCAGAAAGCAGAGCGCAACAGATCGGGCAGAGGAAGGGGACTGGAGTGATACTTGGGGAGAGGGAGGGCCTACTAGCACACCTGCCAGATAGTTTGGCCCCCACTATTTTAGAGGTTCAGGGCAAAGCAATGGAAAGCTTGATTCGTAGACACTTAATCTGTAGAGATGGGATCACGCTTTAAAACAAATTAACACTGAATCTGTGTTTGTGGTGTGAGCTGGGGCTGCAGCTTGCAACCTCTTAGTCTTTTGTATTGACCTTTTGAGAGTAGTGAGGCCATGCATAGGTACATGTATATGTATGATTCTTATTGTAAGGTCAGGGTTTAAAACAGTAAGAAGCAATTTGCTGGTGTTACTAGTTTTATTATGCCCAGGAGGCCTAGTCATGGACCACTGTGATTACAATGTAAAACAAGGGGTCTCTTTGGAAATTACTACCTTAGATATGAGGTGTCATCCAGTGCTGGGCTTGAGTAGAACAGGACTATGTCTGTAAATGGGCCTTTTTTTTGGTTAAGTAAATGGTAATGCTTATGCAAAACAAGAGATTGTATGCATTATGAATTTGTACCGTCTGTGTTTTCTTGACAAGAGGAGCTCAGTGTAAGCTCTCAATCTACTTTTCCACCATTTTTCAGTTCTGTGTTAAAGTGATCCCAGGAATTTGGAGTTTATCTATATCGTGGTGTTCCTCCGTGTAATGGATTCTATCTTTAGCTTAGACAGTTGTGCTTTTGATTTTCACCCATGTTTGCTACTTACTGGTGTTGAAACAATATAGTGGAGATCAGAGGTGACCAATTGTTTTGGCTTAAAGGCCACTTAATGAGTTTTGCTGTCCTCTCAAGGGTCTGTCTGTCTGTCTGTCTCTCTGTACCTGCCCGGCACAGTGGAAACATACCCAGGTGGGCAACAGCATCAGCTGGCAGGTCCTGGGTCAGCTGGCAGGTTCTGGGTGGGGATTGTGGCATCCCCACAAGTCCACAGCTGACGCTGCCATGTCAGCACTGGGCAGAAGCAGTTCCTGCTACTCAGCACAGCAGAAATGGTCCCACACACCTGGCACCACACAGCAGCTGGAGCTGGAACCACTGGCTGCCTGTGGGCTAGATCCCATGAGTTTATGGCTAGTTGCCCATGGCCAGGTGCAACTAGTTGGCAGGCTGAATCTGGCCCACAGGCTGTAGATGGTGCAAGATGATATTCATCACCACTACAGTGGTAGTGATAAATAGCTTTATCCTTTGTACACTAGCAATCAGTCACTTTGGTGCCAATAGAAGAATGCCACTGAGACCAGTTGGTGACACTTTTGTCACTACTGGATTATTTTTCTAATATAAACAGGAGCTAAAATGACCAGCTGATTTCTTGCATACTTTTAACCAGCTATTGGACAAAAATGCTTGTTTATCGGAGTCAAATTTGAACCATGAATTAGAAGAGGAAAGCCCCATTTCTGCTCAGTAGTTTTGTGAATAATCTATTTTTGTCTTTGATGACAAAGTTAAAAACAGGTAATTCACCTTTGGAAGGTTCCTTTTAAAAGAATTTCCCTAATACAGATGTAGCCAGAAGGATGACTTTATTCCCTTTAAACAATTCTTTACTGTTCAGTCTACATTCTGTTGCAGCTAGCCAGCTTGAACTTCCTTTAAGAAAAATAAAATAAATTGCCTGCTTTAACACTATAGCCTTTTCTTTGTAGTCAAGACTCTGTACTTCATGGCACAACAAAACCAAATTTTGCAGCAACAAGTTCAAGTTCATTTTCAAGAATCAAGTTAAAGGTCTCAACCTTATCTCTAAGGTACTTAGTACCCTACATCCAACATCTATAGAATATCAGGGAAGGGAGGCCTACAATCAAACTGTCTTTCACAAAGATTTGGTCTGAGACTAGAATAAAATGCTGTCATCACAAATCACTCTACTCCCTGTTCCAAACGCAAGGCATGCTTTTCAACCAGGCTACCTCTTAACAAACAGGTACATGCTTGCTGTTACTTAGTAGTGCTGCTGCCAAAATCCCATGATTCTACAGCACCCACTTTTTTCTGTGGAAGCAATAAGGCAACCAAATGCTACAGCTGTTACTTATGTTACTGAGTACATTATTCCAAGCCACTTGGGCACTGTTGTGATGAGAGCTGTAAAAGAACCTATGTATAGAATAGTGTTCGTAAAAGCAAACATTAAATTCCCACTGATGCCATCTGAAGGTAGTTTACAGTATGAGGAGAAGATAAAGTAGAACCGCTTTGCCAAAGTATGCACTTGGTGCTATGTAGTGGGAGTCACATTTTCAGTCAGCTAGCCATTGGCAACCCTTTCCACTACAAAGGTAATTTGTAAAGGCTCTCTTTCCGTGCTGAATAATAGCATGGGAATTTCCATTTCTGCTATTCTAATATGTATAAAGAAGGAATAATAGTTCTAACCAAAGAGGCTAGCTTGAGATCTCTGTGCAATGATCCTTTTTTGAGGCTTTAAGGCCACTAACACATTATTTAAAGGCACAGTGGGATATGATCCCTAATCCTAACAATTGCACTTCCTGCTATGCCATGCATGCATGGCAGGACATGTGATTTTTGGGATTGAGGACCAGATTCCATCATGCCTTACTTGCATGTGCAGAGGGAGGTGGCCTCTGACTTCTGCACCAGCAAGTTGACAGCCAGGTGCCAAAAGTCAGCCAATGATTGTTGGCTGGCTTCTTGGACCCACAGAGACTGATCTGAACCCCAGTTCAGTCCCCAGAATCCACCCATCATCACTGATTGTTGGCAGGATTGGGACTGCACTGGAGTTCAAGCCCTTGTGCAGTACCAGTCCGGCCAGTGATCAATGTATCCTCAGCCAGCAGGGACTATACCAGGACCAGAACTGGCCCTGGTTCCATTCATGTTCATGATCAGCTGATCGTCAGCAGAATTGGGACTCAAACCAAACCCAGCCTGTCTCTACCAGCTGACAATCAGCTGACCATCAACTAGCAGGAACCACCAGGACCCGTTCGCACCCTGGTATGGTCCCAGAGCCAGCCAATGATCAGGTGATTGTTGGCTA